GTGAAGGAGTGTGTGTATGTGTAAAAGCACTTCACTTTCTCTTATAAGTAAAGTGAGGAGAAGTATATCTGCGCCTAAGTTTTGTGGTGAGTGGAGTCAAGGTCTCTGGTGTCGGGTTTGGACCTGCTGCTCTCCTTCATTGCTTTTTTTCTTCCACGTCTCTCTTTTGCTATGTGCAGACCCCATGCCTATATGAAAAACTGACATTAATTCTTAGGGATTTTTTTTAGATTTACATGTGTTAACACAAAAGGGGCTCTTGACTTAGAAGCTCTGTTTGGGCAGTACAGGCAGAGAATAAAGATGGCTGTTAATCCCAGGCTGAGCCAGAGGAGCAGTGGATGACTACTTCTGTGAACAAAAGGGAGATGCCAGAGAGCCATTACCTTGGAAATCCCACCTACAGCAGGATCATCAAGAGCTGACAGCTCCTCCTAGGCTCTTCTCGGTACCGGGAGTTGTCCACAGAAGGAGGCTGTATGTTCATGCCTGGAAGGAGAATTGCATGATGAGCATTCCCATTCCATGCCCATCAAAAGTACTGTGCTCTCTGAGCTGGCACAGGAGACTGCCCAATTGATTCAGAAGCATTTGAATTTGAAAAATGATCAAGCCCATTTACTCTTCTTTATCACTAACAGCTCTTGCCTGATTCACCCTTAGGCACTGTGGAGCTAACCTTGCCGTTCAACCCCTGCAGCTTTGGATCTGACCATTTCCTTCAGGCAGCATGGCTCTGAGGCAGTGGATTGCCTGGATGCAAGCTGGCAGCTCTGCATTGCATGCTTCAGCAGCTTCCAACACCAAATTCCCATGTCCTGTCATTTGCTCCTTTACCAGACCTGTGTGTTTTATCAAAAACTCCTGTGAGCCCCATTTTATGTTCCCAAGTCTCCCTGGCTTCACTAGGTTCAACCTGAGGTCTTGTTTAGGGAAAGTCACACTACCCTAGACCCTCATTATTCACTCCATTATCAACCAGGATTCTGCTGTTTACAATGTTACATCATAAAAATGACCTTTTAAGACCATTTTAGGAAGTCTCTTTCCCCATCTGCTTTTTCCTGTCCTCCTCCTAGATACATTTTACCACCCAAAACTTTTCCTTCATTTTCCTTGCACAGATAGAGAGAGATGGGAGATCAGGCAGATCTTTGTCTTCTGTATGGTTTAAGTCTTCTCCCATTGACTTATCTGGCTCTACGCCCTTCCAGAGGGTAAGAATGTCAGGGGTTTGTCTTTGTTGCTGGTGTCATTCTATTTTTAGAGCCCAGTGGAGTCCTAGGCTTCTGCTGGAGCTCCAGGACTGTAGCGATGTAGAAAGCAGCTGTGTATTTGAGTCACGGCATTTTACATCTGCATGTGTACTGCGTGTGTAAATGATGACTTACAAACTGAGGGATCCCGAAAGATCATTCTCTTCATCAGCAGTCTGCAAAGTTTTTAAGCACAGCTGTCCATCCCTTCAGCTGCACTAATACAGCCAGCTTGCAGAGACTGACAAAAAAGCTCAGGTTAAAATAATGTCCCCCCCAAACCTTTTACACTGGGTTATTTCAGCGATCCAGCTTAGAGTGTGGTCCTATGAGCAGGGAGGAAGGAGAAACATGCCAAACTGGCAGCCAGATGAAAGCAAGCAGCCAGAAGAGGGGGAAGAGTCTGAAGGTCAGCAGCCCCTCAGCCTGGCTGTGCTGCCAAAGTCCCTCCGAGGCTCTGCATCTCCGGTAAGCTGTCTCCAGGTCTCTCCTTGCTGATGTGAAGCACAAATAGACCAGGACTGAGTGGCAGGAGGGACACTCTGGAGTGCGCAAAGTTTGCAAGAAAGCAGAGGAGAGGCAGCCAAGCGTTACATTCACTATGCATGTCTTCTGTGGCCAGGGAGGGGGCAGTTACCCAGGGCTCTGCTTCCCAATCTATCAATGCCAGTGGCAGCCTGGAGGCAGCCTGGCTGTCGTGAGCAAGCGTGACTTACTGCTGCACCACACAGCTGAATTATTTGGGGCGGGTGGGCAGTGTTTGTCACACTGTTGATGAGGATTTGGCTATGCTAAGCAAGCACATAGGCTGTCTGGGCTGTTGGGTCAACCTTTACTATACACACAGAGGTCTATGACTTAAACTTACTGGAACAAGACGAATGTGGCAAGGGCAAAAGCATTGCACACACAGAAGACAGACAAGACACTGCACCAGTGCTAAATAATGAAATTTATTGCAGTAGATGCCACATCAAAAGCTGAGTGATTCTTAGACTTCATTCACAACCTGTCTGATAAGACCTATGATGAGTATTACAGTCTGGGACTGAGTGTTTAAAAGTGCTCCCTTGACATGTGCGCTACTTAAAGGAACACTCAAGTGATAAATTTGTTTTCCAGTGCTTAAGGGAGATTGAGTGTTCCCCTGCTCACACAAGAAGTCCCTGATCATACTGCAGATGCAAAACAGACCCTGCTTTGCTGTGATTCTGCAACAAGGGAGGGATGAAATCTCAGTCTTGTAGCATGGAGTCTCTCCGAGTTAATAATAAAGCGTTAATAATGAAGATTTGTCTTTCTCCAGGAAGGAAAAAACATTGAGAGGCAGGAGGAGAAAGGTATACTGATGGACGGGAGGAATTTTCTGAACTTACGAAGGGAGTCAGCTACACAACTGCCACTAATAATACTGGGCTAAATACCCAAGGCAGCCTTAGAGGTTGTAGCCTATATAGATTTAGACAAAAACAAATTCAAATGGTATACTGATGACTTTTTGCCCCATAAAGGATCTTTTAATTTCTGATGGTAATGGATGCTACTTAAGTGTGAAAAAGAAATAGAATATACTAATTTTTATGCAAATGGATTTTTTCAGATGAAAGGCACTGCATAAAAAGTAGAATGGCAGTGCTGTAAATATTCTACTTCTAGTACATTTACTTACCATTAGTTACTGACATCTAGGCTAGTTGTTATAAGGAAATACATGTATTTTTTCAATTAAGCAATGCTTTTACACTTTCAAATCAACTTCTGTTCTTTCAGTGCTATCGGAAATTTGAAAATTGCTGAAGTTGATCCAGGTGGTCATTTTGTGAAGATCCTGAACTGTGCCCCCAAAAAAGAGGAAAACATTGGGGATTATCTCTTGAAGCAGGACATCCAAGGTCAACCAGTGGCTGTATTTCGGTTCCCCCCCGAGACCAGGATGGGGCCCAACTCCACCGTGACAGTGAGTGTGGGGGGTTTGAGTGCCTTTTCTCAGCTGGCAGACTAGGGTGCACTCTTAGCCTGATGGTATAAACTCAAAGTTAAGTCTGTATTTTCAGAAAGGCTTAACAGTCATTCATAATGATGAATTCAGAAGCTGCTAATGTCCATCATCAGTACAAGCCTGGCATTTGCATGACACATCCAGCATTTCACGTTGCCCAGCAATGGGAAGCTGTCCTGGAAAGTCCTTGTTTGATACATTCCTTTTTCCAACCATTGCTCCCATAAAAATCTCCCCATACTGTCAGAATATTGAGTTGTGCCAGTGTTTGCCAACAGAGGGTGTGAACCTTGGATCAGAAGCCCACAGATAATAGAACTGGAAAGGAAACCAGTTTTATGTGTTGCTCCTAAAGCAATTAATATGTTTTGTGTATAGTCTGAGGTATCACTACAGTAGGGTCTCAACTGAAAAGAAAAAGAAAAATTATGTTGCTTTCCAGACTGCGCCCACTATCTGAGGACAGCTGTTATCCAGCAGAGAAGGCCATAAACCACTGTTCTGTCAATGGGGCTCTGTCCCTGGCTTTGCCTTGGATGACTTTAGGAAAAATGATGACACTCTGTGCCTTAGTTTCCTATTCTGTAAAAGGAAGATAATGATGTGTTCTCCTCTGATGTTGTGCCAGAACTATATGTTAAAAATTCAGTGCATGGGCTGCTGCTCTTCAAAAATTACTTCCCCTCCAGCTAGTTCAATGATGTATCTTGTTGCCAGTTTGAATAAGAGTTAGAGAGGTAGGTAGGATCTAAGATGCAAAGAGTCAGATGACTTCATCGTACCCCAGAAAAGCTTTAAATAGAAAACAGCAAATATATGCATCTGATATCCATGGTAATGAAAAAGACTTGAACATGTGAACTAAATGTCACCAAGGCTCAGTTGCAGGTGTAGCTGCGGAACGTCTGCTGGTGTCTGCATGCGGCCTCCAGCAACCTCTGGGATGTACCCACACTCAGAGCAGGTACAGCCTTTGCTGTAGCAGGTAAAGATGCTGGCTGCTTGGCTGGCTGCAAGACACCTTGCAGATCTCCCCAGAAACTGTTTCCTCTTAGTTGGCTTTGACACACCAACCATTCCCACCCACCCCAGAAGCAGTCCTTTCTGAAGTGCTCTGATCAGTGCTGAAGCCTCTGACAAGGTTGCTGTTCCCATAACCGTTAAAGGGCTCTTGGGTGAACAACTGACTGAGGTAGAAGGTCTGCCACAGCTTCTGCTTCGGTGTAGAAAAGCAGAAAATTTCTGCTGGTTTATTAATTTCAAAGGGTCGTATTCAGCCTGCCAACTCTTGCATCTAAAATTCATGTACAATAGTGTCTGTGTCAGACAGCCAGCTAGGGAGGACTTCCAGGCCCCAGCTCCCTGGGAGAGCAACAGATGAACCAAGGCAAAATGCTCAAGTTAGATGCCAGTGTAGATGGTTGGAATATGGCCTGAAGACTCTTTTACCACTGGTGCTTTTTTCTTTTTTTGAGATGAAAACTGGGGCCTCACAGAATAAAAGGAGGCAAAGCCCATGTTCATCACCAAGCTCAATGCAGCCCTGTGTGAGCACCCTTACAAGAAAGCTGGAAATGCAAGCTGGCGGGGGCCCAGAAGAGCCACAGTCAATGCTGTCTTCTGGTGTGTGTGTGAAAAAGCCACAAATAAACCTTGGCAGAGTGCCGTATGGTGAGCACTTTCGGAAGAGAGCATTTTATTTTTTTCAAGATACTTCTTTAAAGTTGAATGAGAATTGTTTTGGCTCCCAGGAAATGGTTGAAGCCATTTTCTCAGAGATGGCAAATGCCAAATCCTTTAGGAACACCGCTTGCAAAAGCGTGTTGTGGTTGTCTTATGTAAGACAAATGTTTTCATAACGGGTCCTTTTGCTACTTTGTTAGTGATAAAGGTCACAGATAATTGTGTTCGCTTTATAAAGCACAACGCTGTTAAATCTTTTGTATAAGGATAAAAGTACAAAAAATTTCTAGTCTCCAGTAGAGACAGCTTCTCCCTGAACAGAGGGAATCCAGAACCAAGCAGAGACTGGAATTTTAAAGCCGATATCACAGATCTCTTCCAATGCCCCTGGTAATTCAGAAAATAAAAGAAACTGCCTATTTTTAATCTTACTCTCAGCAAGGCAGACCAAAAAAACCAGGATTTACTATCACACCTTGAAAAATGTGCCTTTGCTAATCTCTGTTAATCCACAGGAGAGGTACTTGAAAATAATCACTATAACTAAGCTGCGAGTCTTGAAATATAGTTCTTTCGGCTTTGATTTCACAGATCAAATAGTGACCAGTGTTACAAAAATCAAAAAGGAAGAGGAAAACCTGATGTTTTTACTGAGTTCTTATATTGCATAAATATCCAGGAGCCATTTTGTCTTTAATCTAATGGCTGCTTGATCTTTGCAGGTTTGGGCAGCAGATGCTACAGTGCTTCACAAACCTCCCTCAGATTTTCTTTGGAAGGACCTGGAGAGATTTAGGACAAGCCTTGACTGTGCTACCATTCTCTGTGAGCCTAGTGGTCAAGTGAGTGCCCTGAGCAAAATCACTGCTTTTCCTTACCCCAGACAGCTCTATTGCTGGACTTTCTTCAGAGATTTAGGATCACATTGTTAATGTCCTTGTAGAATCAAGCACAAGCAATTCAAACACAGCAAAGCTGTGATCTCTCTCTGTTAACCTTACTTCAGTGTGGATGTTAATTATTAGGATCTGAAGGGCTGAAGTGTAGCAAACACTACACATCAAGGTTATCCCCCTAGATCTCCAGCCGACCCGGGCTTTATACCCCCAGCAGTAGGTGTGTCATGTTATAAGGGGCGGAGCCAAGGGAGGGTCGACCCTTAACTCTTTCCGTACAGCACGTGATCTTCCGGTCGCCAGCCCTTATCTTTACTACATTTACTCTCAGCAAGGCAGACCAAAAAAACCAGGATTTACTATCACACCTTGAAAAATGTGCCTTTGCTAATCTCTGTTAATCCACAGGAGAGGTACTTGAAAATAATCACTATAACTAAGCTGCGAGTCTTGAAATATAGTTCTTTCGGCTTTGATTTCACAGATCAAATAGTGACCAGTGTTACAAAAATCAAAAAGGAAGAGGAAAACCTGATGTTTTTACTGAGTTCTTATATTGCATAAATATCCAGGAGCCATTTTGTCTTTAATCTAATGGCTGCTTGATCTTTGCAGGTTTGGGCAGCAGATGCTACAGTGCTTCACAAACCTCCCTCAGATTTTCTTTGGAAGGACCTGGAGAGATTTAGGACAAGCCTTGACTGTGCTACCATTCTCTGTGAGCCTAGTGGTCAAGTGAGTGCCCTGAGCAAAATCACTGCTTTTCCTTACCCCAGACAGCTCTATTGCTGGACTTTCTTCAGAGATTTAGGATCACATTGTTAATGTCCTTGTAGAATCAAGCACAAGCAATTCAAACACAGCAAAGCTGTGATCTCTCTCTGTTAACCTTACTTCAGTGTGGATGTTAATTATTAGGATCTGAAGGGCTGAAGAAAAACATCAGATTGATGATACCGCTTGCTGAATGAAAGGCTAATGTCCTCACAGCAATTGAAGCAGGGGCTCCACAAGTGTGAATTGCCAGCCCACTGTCCTCTTCCACTGTGCTTCAGCCATGAAAGATCCAGCTATGCCCAGGGCTATTCAGCCCATGGCTGCCCATTAGTAACTGCCATTGGCTTGGCAACTGTGTTGAATATTTTTAGGCAAACTTCTGTTGACTTGGAGCCCAAGATAATTTTTTACCCTATAGTTGTCCAGTGGCAGCTATGGTTTTGGTCATTTTTAGCTAGACAAACTCGAACTAGTGACAATATGGAAAAGACCTGTGATTTTCATAAACAATGTAAGTTATACAGGTTCCCCAAGGTAGCATAATTTACATCTTACAAACTGTTAAGTGAATGTTGACTTTTGATCTCACCTTTTCGCATTTACTCCGCTTCTAGCTCAGTTTGGCCATACTTGCTATTATATCAGTGCCAGGGAATCAGAGGCTGAAAGGGAACTTGAGATGTGATTACCTCTGCCAGGATTGCTCCTGGCTGTGGCTTGCCTAGGTAGTTCTGGAAGACCTTCAGTAACGGAGACTCCACCCTGACCCCAGGCAATCTGCTTTAGTGCCTCACTCTCTACATGCTTAGAAAAGCTTTCCTAGTGCCTAAACTGAACTTTTCCTACCTCAGTTTTAGTCCTTTCCTTCTTGTCCTATCCACTGTGGACATGGAGAACAGATTGCTTTTTCTTCCTTCAGCAGCCTTTGACATACTTGCAGAATTGTCATGTCCTCTTTTCTCTCCTTCTTTGTCTGGTTTACTTAATTGGAGCAGTGGAATTTCAAGACTCTTAGATGATGAATCTACCCTAAATACATTTAAAGACTGGAAATGGATTTTAAAGACCAAAGAAAAAAATCTGGAATTTGGTGGTTGCCATTAGTATTTATCTTTCAAAAGATAGATGACTCAGAAATACATTGGAGCCCCTAGCTCTTTAGCCCTTCCCAGTTTGTCTACAACAAACAACTATCTTGATGAAAAAAATGCAGAATATAAATAAGCAGTGATATGTTGGGTTTTTTTAGGCTGTGGCTTGGTACACTCCGCTCTACTGGAACAGAAGGCAAGGATGGGTGGCAAAGGAGCAAACTGAAAACATTGAGAATGTGGTTACATCAACTTTCTCAAAAACAAAGCAAAAAGAAGGATGGGAAAAGGAACAGGAATTCAAAATAACTGATACAGAGTGGAAGAGGGCTGACCCAGGGCAAACAGGAAAAAAAAGACAAAGCTTCATTAAAAGGTATCTGATGTTCATTGAGTGTACTCTGTAATTACAGCATTGTGCCAGACTGGCTTGTTAACCGAACACTTTTAAATGAGCATCTTGGTAAGCAATTTTTGCAAAGCTTTGGAATTTGGAAAATAAGAATTAACCTTAACCTTCAAACGGGAATCGAGCCCAGAACTCCTGATAGGAGTGCATTCATTGTCAGTCAAGACTAAGTGGAAAGTAAAATTCAAGTAAAATTCTTCTTAAAACATGAGTTATTGTTACATATTACCCTTTCACACCCAAGTGTTTGGATGGCACCATGCAAAGTCCATGAGCTGGAAAACTTTCAGCCAAAAATATTGATGTTCACAGAACTATTCACCTTTTTCTTGAGAACAAAGGCCTGAACATGGTCTTCTCTCAGACCACTGCACTTTGAACTGAGCTAGGGACTGGTAACCATTGCTTTCTAAATTACTTCAGAATTGTCTTCTAACCTTTGTATCAACTTAAACTTGGCAGCACTATGAAAAAGTGTGGTTCATTGGTGTAGCTGTGGACAGTTTAGTTTGTGCACCAAGGTCTCAGTCAGGAATGAGAGCCATTGACTGTTTTGAATAAGGCATGTAATATTGGTGGTTTTTTCTAAGTCCCCTCCAGAATATTGGTTCCAGGGGCTTTTGAGCCAGGTTCACAACAGAAAAGAATGTGCGGAGGAGTTGATGTATTCCAAAAACAAAGGATTAGCCAATCTGGATATATTTTCACAAAAAAAGTGGGTGACCCTTCTCATATTTGGGTCATTGCTCTTCTCTAAATTTCTTCTCCAGACTGTGGCTGAAGATGTTCAGAAGATAAATGGTTTTCAGCACAGGTTAAACTGGCTGTTCTTTGCAAGCTTTGTCCTTAAAAATGGCTAAATCACTTTTGCTCAAACTCTCCAAAGAAACTAAGTCAGAAGCAGGGAGAAATTATGTAAAAATTCAGTGCAAAGAGTTCAAGTCTGGCAGAACTATAACCAATGGCAAATAGTAAATTATAGTGTGATATGTCAAACAATATAAAAGTTGAAGTTCTTCCACCTTCAGCTAAATACAGAATGTGTCAAATATATGTGCGCTGTTTGTTAGGTATATCGCATAAATTTAATGTATTTGTGCAGTAAACGCAGTAAATCTATGCAAAATACAATAATGAATATGATAATGCAATACAATACATAATGCAGTAATAAATACAATATATATTTTTTTTATATCCTGTGCACATACATGTATGTGCAAAACGTGTGAAATACATGCAGTAAACTTAATTGAATTTCTGTTTACAGGGAAAAAAAGACCTCTGCATCCCTTTTCCCTAATCAGAGTGCCTGGTGCCAAAGTCCAAACTCTCCCACACACCCTCACTTTTCTCTGGTTAGACCATTAACCATGGGGAATGATGGCAGCAGTCTGTGCAGGCAGTCCCGGTGTCAGTCATCCCGGCCTGACCCTGTGCCAGGTGAGTTCAATGGCAGATGCAGTATATGCTGTAGCACGCACAGTGGCAACGGGGTGGATTTTCTGACACAAATAGCTTAGGGCTTAGAATACATATGTGTTACCACCTCTTATTTCTATAGCAGTGATCTGCAAACTTTTTTAATTGTGCACCCCTATCAGTAAAAAATTTTTGAACCCACACTCCCAATATGTGTACATTTATTTATTTGTAAATTATATACATTTACTACTGCAATAATACATTATGTACATTATAAAACTTACACACGAACAGAAATTTAAAAGGATAAGATAAACATGAAAAAATACTATTTTAAAAGTATTTTTAAATTTAATGTTATTTCTTAATACTACAAAAATATTTTCTTCCCACACCCCAATGGATTTTCTTGCACTCCCCCTGGAAGACCACTGCTGTATAGAACTGCATATGTTGGTAAGATGTGAGGAGGCTGTTGTTACTAGTACCGATGCATTTAGGAAATGAAACAAATATTAGGAATCAGTAAGAGAAAGAGACACTTAGAGTGGCTGTGAATTGTTAATTAGGCAGTGGTCACAAAGTCAGTGTGTAATTCGGGTACATCAAACCCAGAAAGCTGTTGACATGCTGGAAGGAGTTCAGAGGAGGATGACAGAGTAAAAAGTATCTGAAGAGACTGATTCATGAAGATTAAAAAGAGATAAATGTGTGTTGGACAAGCAAGGCAATTGTTGTGCAAGGGGGTTCAAGCATCGCAGCCAGAGAGGAAACAGTCTTAGATCCAGGAAACAGAACTAGAAGGAATAGGACCAAGTGAAACACAGGAAGACTTAGGTTGAATATGTAAATAAAAAGGAGTTTTAATGATCTATAGTATAGTCTTCCAGTCGTGCTCGTTGCTTCACTCACTATTTTAAATCACGGGCAAGTTTTAAGTGCTCAGCTGCCATTAATTTTAAAGTGACTAGGTATCCAGCTCCTGAAGACAGCTTTGTAACACTCGTTCTTTCTTTAGTGAACATTTAAAACCAGACTGGTCAAATTATTTGAATATAGTAAGGAGGTCACCCTATGACTGGCATGGATACGTGACTGCGCAGTTGTCAGGAGTTTTTCCCCATTTCTAAGAGTGCCAGCCTAGGAAAAACCTCTCAGCTTGAGCCAGTTTATGCACCTGCTTAACTTTACACACCCAAATAGTAATCCTGGAGCCAGGGAGGACTGTCAGGAAGATCCTTCTCAACTGTTAAATCCAGGCAAAGCAGCTTAAAACCTGATGGAGTCAGTTGTAATAGACCTAATTTCATGGTTTGTTTCCTGCTCTGTCTTAATCACTGGTAGCATCAGCTACTGGGTGGCTATTTTGTGTAATCCTGGTTTGTCTAATTTGCTAAAATTTAGTTTGTCTTGTTCTGTGTCACTCTGGTGTTCTGAAGAGCTTGGTCCCCCATATCTGTTCTGCTAGTTTCCTGGACAGGGAAAAGCTGGGGACAGAAAGGGAATCGGCACCTGCCAACTGGGGGTGCTGGTGGCATCAGAGGTTGTGTTCACATGAGTAAGTGCTGTGGACAAATAGAAGCAGGTCTGTAGAGCAAACCTCTTGGTGCTGCAGACCTGGCATCCACCCTGTACACATTTCAAACATGATTTACTTTGTCCCAGCTCTAGGCTGGTACAACAGGCCATGAGGGGGCACCTACTTTTGCACAGTGTAGGTCCTTTTTGGGTATGCAATTTCCCGGGCTGCTGTGCAGCCCACTCATGCTCACCACTGGACTGCACAAAGTGGTTTCTGTCCAAATACCTGCTTGCAGCCCGAGTGCTTGAGGTTTGACTCCAGAGGACATCATCTGACTTGGTTTCATTCAAGAGGAAGCCAGCTTGTGCACTTGATAGGGCTCCATGGTGTGAACCTGAGTACAGCGAGTAGGGGGAGTGGTGACTCCGCTCCACGGGTGCCCTCCTCTTTGGACCCAAAGTGCTATGGACACATGCAGGACATCCCCCAGTGCTCCTCCCTAGCCAAAGGGAGTTTGCTGCATGCAGTCCTCTTTCCTACGTTCCCATCTTTTGTCACGTCTCCGCAGATGGAGGTTGATGCTGTTGCCACGAGCTACATTTGGTTTCAGTTTTCAAGATTTTTTTCCTTGCAACTGTTAAGACTAAAAACTTTTTCAATAAAGTATGCAATATGAAACCAAAACAAAACACCTCTGAGACTGTAATGCAATCACATTGTTCCAGGACCCAGGGCTGCAGGCACAGAGAGACGGCCTGCCTGCAAATTTATTTCCTGAGCGTGGGAACTCTTAAGGCAGAACTCAAAGCTAGGTGGTCTGTCATGCATTAAATATATCTGATTTTCTGTAGGTTTTCACATGCAACCTGCATACCTTCAGTCTCTCTTTCTCAGATCTTTGCAAAAGATAATTCAGCTCTATTTACTAATGGTTCATTTGCAGTTCTTTTCACTGCTGAATTATGAAATTATTCCTCTTAATATTGCCAGGAAAGTTAATAATATCCAAGATCTCAGATTAAAAATTAAATATGAGTATAACCATTATTTTCCAATGATAAATATTCATGTGTAGTGCCTATTACTGCTGGATTTTTCCAGAAACGAATACATAGAGAGATGTAAGCATCATTCTTATTTTATTACAGTGCAAAAATTACAAGTGCTTTAGGCAGATTTATACAAGTATGCCGCCAGACATTATTACTGATGGTGGTGGAATGATGATTTTCAAATATGTGATGGAATGATGATTTTGAGATGTATGACTACTTTCTCTTTTTCTTCTTTATTTTTCTTTCCTTGCTTAAAGTTTTTTAACTAGCAGGTTTATAACTGACATGAACAACTGGGGTCCACAGTAATATGCATAAATACAGTCTTGCTTAGGTCCTGGTCCAAGAAAGCTTCCCTATTCTGTAAGGACTCTTCAGTTTCTTCATAAACGCGTCACAATATCAGAGACTTACAGAAATCAGTATTGTTAACTATTTGTTTTCCTCTGCAAACACACCTTTGATCACTATTGTCTTTAAATATGGATAAGTATTTTCCTAATGCCATAATACAGCAAAGTTAGGTCAATGTCTTTGAATCGAATTAGTGATTCAAAGTATTTTTGCATTTTCCTCTCAGATACTTAGTTTTGCTTTTCAAACTCAGTTTAGTGTATGTTCATATTTTAGAAGTACAAAGGTCCACTCAAAACTGCAAAGAGATGGGCCTCACACTGTTTGATGGTATTTGCTTATTAGCTGAAAGTATTTAGTTTCTCATACATCGGTTGTATCCTTTCTAGCTCCTAGCTCTCCTCTATAATAAACAGTATCTTTCCAGTGTCTTTTTGGGGGATGTTAATGGCAGCAGTCCACAATATCCCAGTACAGAACAAAGTGTGTTTAGTGGCACGATGGTGTTTTGAGAACTGTTTGCCTCTTCTCTCCTCATGCAGTTCAGCATTTTACCTTCCTAGCTGCTACAGAACAGGATTTTCATTTCCCAGTTCCAGTGACTTCTGTGGCTTTACTTTTGAGTCGTCGTAGTTGATAAGATGATGGTAGGGTGCGTGGTGGCTGTTCCTTTCAGCACATACCCATCCATATGAAATTTTAACTGGCACCTTGCTGTTTGTCTGCTTTGCCTTCTGAGCCCCTCCTGAACCTCTTCTGAACAGTTTTCTTTGGTGCTGACAAGAAAAGACCTCACAAGTTATTTACAAATGGTTTCACTTCATTTCTTGCTATTTTTACTTTATAGTCTTTTTTTATTAATTGTTGAACTGTCTGTTTGGTTTCCTCTTTACCTAAGTATCCTCATTTTCTTCTCAGACTGAGAGATAGGAGCGGAAAAGCTGCTACTGCCATAGGTCACAGAGTTCAAGCCGAGCTCCTACCTCCCATTTTCCTCAGAAATGCATCACTCTGGTGATGGCATTTTTTTGTTGTTGCTGTTGATGAATTTCACTCTGAATCAAAATGCTCAGCTGTGAATTTTGCAAGGAGTTTAAAAATACCCGTGGAGCATATTGTGAAGCGAGCATTTTGAAGCTTCAGCCAGAACCAATGAGTTTTGTCAATCAGATTGTTTCCCTGTTGCTGAGGAACGCTAATTAAGC